AACAGTTGAAGAATCTGACAAAATGCATCTGCAAACAAATAAATAAATAAAAAGTTAGGTTAACTAATTATTACTAACAATTCTTTAACAAAACGAGTATTAATTAATTACAAAAATTAATACGAAAATGACATGGGTATTTGACACACATGATGCTTTAATAATTCATTTACACATTTCATGCACCTTATCTATGTCAATGGTTTAAAAGGCATGCATGTAGATGAAAATATAAAATTTTAGATATTAGAGTTGTAATTACATTTAAGAGTTGTGCTGTATGTATGTAATTGCCCCAATTTTTTTTTATTTGCGAAAAAAATATATATATATATATTTTTAGTTTATTGATTGTTGTCTACTAAAATAGAAAATAATTTATAATAATATTATATTTAACTATGGGGGTCCTCTCCATGCGTATTAATATTATGAATAATTCCGGACACCTGACGTACCTCTACATGGGTGCAAGTTATTCCTGAGTTATTTTCAGGTTATTTCTGGGTTATTTTTAATCCCGAAATAATTTGGATTATTTCTGGATTATGGAAAATAACTCAAATGAATACCCTGAGCCGCACATAGAGTTACGTCAGGGGTCCGCACAGAAAAATTTTTGCCTCTCCTAAGGGCGTATGTGAGCAAAGCCACCTCATAAGCCAGATTAAGCTCGACTCAAAAAATGGCTCATGAGCTAAGCTCAATGAGCTAACAAGCCGAGCTCAAATCAGATCTAACTAAACGAAACACGTCAGCTGAGTGAGCTTATTTATTGAAATGCATATTAATATAAAATAAACTAAAAAAAAATAAAATTTTAAGATTTTTGTCATTAATTTTTTTTAAAAAAAATTATATAATCTCTTCATTGCCCATTCCATAAATAATTTTGCTTATAACAATAAATTAAATTCATATTTATTTTTTTCATACTACACAGATGGACATGAAGTAGTAGTCTTAAGCTACAGTTTGAGCTCGAACTCGATAATTAATCAACCTCAAGTCGAGTTGCACGAGCTCGACTGGACTCACAACAACCAACATGACAAAAGGATGCTACATCTAGCCATAATTCAGAAAAATTTAAATAAAAAAACTAATATTAATTAATTTCCTAGAACAGGAACCATATAAAATCTAATATTTCTCTAATTTTAAGATCTGCATCAAAATATTAAAAAAGATAAATAAAAAGAGAGGGGGTTTATTTAATCTGCACCTTCCAGTATTTTTTGACTTGGTTTTCGATGAAAGCCCCGTTCTCATAGGCGAGCTTCGCCGCCATCATCGAGAGGCAGAAGGGATTGATGTCCAGCCCTGGAATCGGCTCTATCGAAGTATAATCGCTCAGAAAAATGCTCCTAAATAGCTCATATCGTCCATCAATGTGACAGATAATAGATCTGAAATTAGCCGCGTGCCTTCTCGGAATCACCACAGAAACTGCATCCAACAATAACAACAACCAAGCAATCAATCAGAAGAAGATGCAATACCGACTAAAACCTAAAGGAAATGGTAAGAAAAAGAAGAAGGGAGTGATCAAAGTGGACATGTGAGCAAGCGGGGAAGGATGCCGAAGAATCCGCCGTTGAGGGAGAAGAAGTTGAGGAAAAACTCGACGAGATGTCCGAACCAGAGAAGGGGGGAGCTGATGATGGAGAGAAGCTTCTGGATGAGGAGGGTGAGAGCGATGACCCAATCGATCGGGGCCTCGTCGAGCTCTGAGCTGACGCCGGGCTTGTGCTCGGCGAATTTGCTGCGAGTTAATCGACGGCGAAGCACGAGATGGCTGGCGATGTCGCGATACCTGGCCTGATCGTGGCGAAGGATCATGTGCTCGTCTGGGGCCGCCATGGCTGCCGAGTGAGTGAGAAGGGAAGAGAGGGGTTTTGACGGAGGGTTCACCGCTACTGCATATTGTCTTTATAGCGGGGAGAAATTTGCAGTAAGACATTTATCATTTGCCAAAAAATTAAAATAAAAAATAAAAGGGGGGTATTTACATATATTATACATACTAAAATATTTTATTTATTTGCATATTTATACAAATAAAAATTATTTTTTTAATAATTTAAATAACATTTAAATTTTTAACATCATAGTTATATAAATAACACTTATATTGGCAAATTAAAATTCTCTATTAAGAATATAGTAAATTAAATAATTTTTTTAATAAAAGTGCATTAGAAAAGACGTAACATCTATTATTATGCATTTATGTATCTCGCACTTAAATCTTGATATTTACAAAAAATACCCTTCTTATGAATGAAAAGATGAATTTTATTATGGAGAAGTGTAACTCAAAAAAAATATCCTAAGATAATATGACATATTTTATTAGTTTTCACACGAAAGATTTTATTATGATAGTGAAAGGTTGATATTTTGTTTTTGAATGAACATAAAACACGTGTATAAATAAAATAAGAGTTTCACTAAGAGATGTTGAAATCTTGACCTGAAAAATTCAAAAAAAGTAATGACACGATCAAATTTAGTTGAAATGATTTTGCTAATGTGCGTTATATATTAGGAATAATTTCCTTACCCAATATGATGGAGGTATTGACATGGAAAAAGCAAAATATACTCCATGATGAAAAGTAGAGTATGGAGGTCGGGAAGTTGTCTTCTAGACATTGTTTATGATGTATTCAATCAAATCTTATTTGAAGAGATGAGTCAAGTGACCTAGAAGAGCATCATATTCTTTATGTGAATAACATGCTTCAATGATTTTAGTGATCATGAGCATGTGCATCATTATTATTTATGATGATGAGTGATGGGGATAAAAAGTATCTATATTGGTTTTAACGACCTGCATCAATCTAATAAAGATGTCATATGTCAACACGTGCATCAATATTAGAGGTAATGACTTGTGTTGATGGTGCACATCAATGTTATAAATGATGGCATGCATCAATAATGCAAGAGATAATCGGAAAAAAGGTTAGTGAATGTCGACATTGATGCCAAAGTTGTATAAAGACCTAATAAAGAAGGGCATTCAACAACACACATCAAGTTTAGAACCAATGATAAGCCTTTTATATTCCTAGTCTCGCTTTGACAAGCCTTAGAGCCTTCTTATACAAATATTGATGGACTTTCTCTAAATTTTTAGTTACATATGATGTAAATACTATCAAAATTCAAAACACTTGACTCTTTTGATTATGATGTGTTTTTTTGGTGTCCGAGTGTTTTAATTTTGACAGAGTTGAGCAACATTGAACTTGTTAGATTCTATGTTTTATCATATGAGTCAAACTATTGTAGTCATCTTTCACTTATTGTATCAAGCTTGCTTAGGTATTTTTTGTGCTTTATGTATGGAAGTTGATTTCATACTACTTGCCCCCAAATGGTGCAAAAAAATATTCAAAGCCTTAAATTAAACATAGCCCAATTAGCGCATTGCATTAGTGCATTGTCACACTAGAAGCTAAATAACATCAAGCTCTTCTAAGCCTATAGCCTCTTCAAGTTTTTTGGCTTCAAATACGTAGACGTCTTTTGAGGTTTATGTCTTTTAAGAATTGTGGCTTTTTGAGGCTTATAGTATACATGTACATTCCGAGATCTGCAACTTTCAAAAATTATTTATATAAATATTACTTATACCTTCTAAAGCTTGTATTCTTCTGAGATTTTTAATGTACATGTACTTTTTGAGCCTTATAGTCTTCTAAAACTTTTAATGAACATATACCTTCTAAGATTTTTAACCTTATGAGATTTTTAATATACATATATCTTCTGAGGCTCTGAGTGGAGACTCTACCGACTACTTACTCTGATGGAGTTTTTCTAATGAGGACTCTGTCAATTATTAGTCTCTCAATAAAAATTGTCTCCTCATAAGTCATCATCATCATCGACAACTATCATCATAATAAAAAATAATCCTCGTGTTTCTATGATTGATCCCCCTTTTATAAAACGATTGATCAAAAAAACTTTCAATGTCTAATTAAAACAAATTTACTTTAATCCTAAAGATTATTCTTACAATATTAGATCCTTTTTTTTTTTTTTGCAAACAAAAATATTATTTATATTTATTCTATTTGATAAAATAATAATAATATTTGACAAGTTTTTCCTCCATGACAAAAAATATTTGAATGCAAAATAAAAATATTTCTCGATAGGATTGAAATTTCCATAAGAGCAACATAATAATAATAATAATAACGAAAAATAAATAAATCAAACAAATAACAAAAACCAAGCACGTTTTACACATGAGATGACAGTGGGCCCATGGCACGCCATATCCGCCAATCATTCACTTCCATTCATTTAAGATATGGCGTGGCCTTGCTTCCTCCCCAATATAATAATAATAATATTTACACATAAATCTATCGAAATATTGGTATTTATAAATTAAATATCAAAATGATTTAAGCTGTTAAAAATCTTATAAAAATGAAAATTTTGATTATTTGAGGGAGAATTTGAAAAAAAAAAAAAAAGATGAAAGTGAGTGGTAGGTTTGTAAATACAAAGTTTCGGGTGATCTGTATGTAATTGTCTCAAACAAAAAAATTTAAAAAATAAAATAAAATCTATTAAATTATAAATATAATTGATACGTAATGTAGTTTGATTTGTGCATCTCAGCTCTAGTTTAACGGAATTTGATAAAAATAAGATCAAAATTAAATGAAAGTATTGAAAAAAAAAGAGTGATCAAATTTAATTATATATGGTACGCCATTAACGAATTTTCATCATTTGGTATGACTCTCGAGTCATAACACGAATCTCGAGATGATATTTTAAATAAGAAACATTCAATTCTTGATAAAAAAGTCATTCAGAGTTCTGATTTTAGCAAACTTATAGTCAAGCTGGCCGGCTCGATGAGACGGACCTAATGATATGAAAACTAGCTCAATTCGAGTCAAGTCAAGCCCAGATTAAGTCACTCGCCCAGCACCCCCCCCCCCCGCCGACGCCCACTGCCGACCTCCGTTGATCACCGTCTACCGTCGTCGAACATCGCCGACCTCCGTTGACCTTCAACAACTGCTGTCGACCATCGCTAACCATCATTAATAACCACCAACCAGACACTGTCAGTTGAAGCTGTAGTCTGAAAAGTATAGTTACACTCTCCCGTCGTGGGACAAGAGATTTTTGTAATCATCAATAAATATTAAATTTTTGCAACTGGGCCAGACTTCGTACTAGCATTTGCATAAATAATACATAATTTTTATTTATTTACATATCTCACACTTAAATTTTCATATTTACACACAAAACTTAATTCGTTATTCTCACATAAAAATGACAGTTTTATTAATCTCTTAAAGTAAAAAATATATTGGCATGCATGAGTTCAAAGAACCAAAATTTAATGTAAATATAAAAGTTTAGGGGTGTGATATGTAAATAGATAAGAGTTGTGTGTTAGGTATGTAAATATTCCATAAATTATTTACTTTAACAATTTTTTTTAAATATTAAAAATTAATCAAATCTATTAAATATATTTGAATTTTCTAAATTAATTAATGCAGATCTATAATTATCAAGCTTAAAAACAAAGAACTCGGTTTGGAAAAGGCCTCCTAATCACACTTTAAGTAAGCCTGTGGGCCCATAACTCGATGTTATAAAAACGTTCACGCGGGCCGAAGCCCATGTGAGCTAGTCAAGACGCTGAACAAAACCAAAAAAAAGTACCTAAAGGAATAATTGTACTAAACAAAGCATTTTATAGTAGTTTTAGGAATTCAAATGTTACATTGGATAAATTTTAGATACATCATATGAAGAAATTGTGATGTCATTTAGGTCTGTTTTGGAGCAGCTGTGTCTATCAACTATGAAGCTGTATTTGCATAAAAAAAAAGTTGTTCGAAAAACTGCGGTGACTATTATAATATTTTTTATAAATATCGTATCAAAAATTTCCATCAGTCACCACATGCAGTCAAATCTGGCGGTGAAACACAGCTTTCAGCTACAATTTTTTTTTTAACTGATAAAATACAGTTTCGCCAAATAGAAAAAACTGTGGTGCAGCACTGCACCAATGCACGTTCATGCTAAATTTATTATCAAGTATCAAAATCAGTTAATTAAATTTGTAAAAAAATGTATAAATATAAATTTATTGAAATTTAATAAATCAATATAATAAAAATAAATATAGAAATAATTTTTTTTTCTTTTTCTTCTAAAGAGATGTCTAAATCAGAACTTCATAAGCACAAAGTTGCAATAATTAGCTATGCATTTAAACAGTCATACAAAAAAAAAAAAAAAACTCACTTTTTATGTCCGGAGTCTAGACGTAAGCAGTGTCTGGACAACGATTACGATCCATCGAAGATCCTTTTTTTTTTCTCCTCCAATGTTTATTGTTTTGTTATTAAAAAAAAATTAATTTTACATACTCTTAATGAATATTTAAATTAAAAAAAAAAACATCTATTTCTTGTGCTATGAGTGAAGCAAAATAGAAATGAAAAAAATAAGAAAAAAAATTGAAGTTAATTGGAAGGCATATATTTATTTATTTATTTTACCATTCATTAAATTTTAATAAGCTTTTTTTTTTTTTTTGTAATTAGTTTGCTCTTCAAATAAAACTTACAATCTCATTAAATTATATTTTATATAACACTTCATGCTAAAATAAAATAAAATAATTTATTTTTAATTATGTGATATTTATTCTGCTTTTTCACAAAATTATTTATTTATATAGAAAATTTGCCCTCCATAACAATAAGATACATATGTATTCTGAGAGAGAGAGAGACGCACACACAAACGCGACATGGTCAAAGACAATCATGTCCCCATCAAATTATTTAAAATTACAAAACGTAGTACTTAAAAAAATCTAAGTTAAACATTTATATATTTCGTCTCTCATAAACAACTATGGGTCTATTTGGGGAATTTGCAGCTTATTGAATAATCTGCTGATAAGCTGATTAAAAATAATCTGCTGATAAGTTAGGTACGGTGACTATTACAAATTTTTAATTTTTTGAAAAAGTCAGACCGTTGTTAGAAAGCTGCAATCGCACCTAGATAGGTGTGGTGTACGCAACTAGATAGGTGCGTTGTGAAAACGTTGTTTTCAGCGTTTTGAAAACGCATAAGCTGCCAAAAGGCAGTTTACCCAAACAGGTCAAGTGCATTTTCAAAACGTCACCGCACGAAATAAGCTGCCCCATTAAGGACTAAAATAATATTTAAAAAAAAGTAATATATTTTGAATATATTTATATTAGTACTTTTTTCATTAGGAAAATTTACATACATACCAGGCAATTCTTACATATTTACATTTCTAACACCTGAACTTCAATTTGTACACATATGCCACCTTATCAATAAAAAGAATATATTGGCTTTTAGAATTTAAAATAGAGATGTTTTTTTTTATGTGATATAAAATATTTGGGTATTGTAAATGTAAAAAAGCAAACTTTGTGTTGGAAATAAATAGGAATTATGTGGGCATGCACATAAAAGTCAATAAATTTAAAAATATTTAGTACCCAAGTGAAACCTCAAGATTAGGGATGTCAAAAAGACTCGTTCGCGAATAGCTCATTTTTGGCTCGCTAAAAAGCGCATGTTCGATGCGTTCGCTAAGCTAACATGCCCAGCACGAACATTTTTTTTGTGCTTGATATATAAACGAGCTGGACACGAACAAAAATATGTTCTTGTATGTTCCGCTTCTTTTGGCTTGATATATATATATATATAGATCAATGATCAGTATTTTTAAAAAAATTAATTAACTACAAAGATACTAACTACAAAGATATAAAGATTTATAATCAATTAAAATTATTAATTAAAAATTGAATAAAAATATATTAAATTATATTTAAATAAATTTTAATATAAACAATAAGATTTAAATCTTTCCAACTCTTTAACATTATAGGGCTGTGTGATTAGGGTAGTCAAAATGACTTTTTCTTCGCGAGCAAACGAACCGAACACACATTTTTTTGTGTTTGAAATATAAAGGAGTTAAACATAAACAATGATATTTTTTAACGAGCTGAACACGAGCTGAGTCTAGGCTCCATCATGTTCGGCTCCTTTACACCGCTATTCATAATACTGATGGTCATCAAATTATTTATTTTTTAAAAAAGTTACATATTTAATTCAAAAAAAAAATGACAACAAGGGCATCAATGCATATTGACAATTTTTTTTTCTAATTTCTTTAGGCCACAACTAATTATTAAGTCAAAAAAAAAAAAAAACTTTAAGAGCCTTCATTTAGGGGAGGGGCTTATGAAGAAGAAAATATTACATGAGTGGCGGAACATATGTTCGAACGATGATTCAAACGCAGCCAGACCACCGTGTGACGTGTATCACACGGCGAATTATCCGAACCATCATCTGAACATGCGGTCGCCAAACATAATTTTACACATTTTGAAGGGCCTCTCTCCCTCTCTCTCTAAGAGATCAATAGTCTGATCTACAATTACGTAATCTTATAATGGGAGCAATTACATTGCTAACACCCTCTTTCATCCCTTCTTCAAATTCTCACTCCCATATCAAAATTCACAATAAAATCCCAACCTACACTTACACACTAATACTCCATAACTTCTCTATTTACAAAACTAACATCCTCCTTAATCCGTTTAACAAATTACCACCCTAAACATCGAAATCCACAACAAAATCCAAACACACATTACATGCTTATCAAATTCCGAATGTTTTGACCACGATGCACCTTAAAAAAAAAAGCCTGAGCGGTAATTATATAAATAGCAAAAATCAGAGCGTCAACACGTGTAATTATCCCTTTTGAAACCGAAATTTCTGCATCAATGATCAATTAAAGAATGGGAACAGATTACGGTTAGGTCATCTCCATTATTCCAGCCTACGAACTGCCCCCGCATTAGCTATAACATTTAGGCCTCAATCAACACTGCGCCTTAAAACTCATTCAAATGAACACCCCAACCGCACTCATTTCTCTCCCCACTAATCCGCCCAGCGCCTAATTCTCTCCAGTTTTTTTCTATATTCTTTCATAAGCGTAATTGAAACCTTTTTTTTATATATTTTTTGGTTCATTTTATTGCATGAAATGAGAAATGAGATCATCGTTTTCTCAAATATTTGGATTTTTAATTGATACTATGTTGTTTGTTTCTATTAAGTTACATTGTCCTGGGTTCTGCAGGGTTTCTGCAATGAACCACACTGTTGGTGCTCAGCTAACCATCTTCTACAATGGATTAGTTTTCTCCTACGATGGAATTACTCCGAAGCAGGTAGGGAAATATTTGTATTTGTTTCATTAACAGACCTAACAACAGAACATTTTGATATGTGTGTTGTTTATGTATGAGTTTGGACTGATTGGAGTTTGTCAGGCGCAGGCCATCATACTTATGGCAGCCGCAGGTGCGTCTGGTAAGGAAGGAGTTTCACCTGCTCTGAGGAGGCCGCAGCTCCTACAGCTGATGCCTACAGCGGCTGAATCTTTACAGTCGGCTCAGCTTCCCACCAAACCTAATTTCATCTCCGCGCTGCCGGATGGTGGACAAGGATGTCTGAGAAGGCCTCCGATAAGGCAGGTTTTAAGAGGTGGGAAGAGTTTGCTACATTGATATAATGGGAAATTTACATATATAGCATATAAGTCTAGTTAGATATCTAACACCTAAAGTTTGATATTTAAACTTATGGCACTATTGTGTTATACATTGACATATGAAGAAGTGTGTTTCATTCTAAAAAAAAATGGTGATCGAGATAATTTTGATATTTTTGATGTGATGTTTAAGATTTGAGTGGGATGTATGCGAATATGAATGTTTAGTGTTAGATATGTTTGTAGATAAAAATTGTGGTATGGGTGTAAATGACACTAATATACATCATTTTAACAAAGATTGTGCTATTCTTGTTCTGCATGCAGAGGTCCCATTAGGCCGAGAGCACTTGCCTCCATTAGGGCGACTGTGCTCGCTCCCATTAGCACGAGCCAACTCAATCAAGCGGTTTCTGGAGGCGCGCCAGAAAAGGTGAGTTAACTTTTTTTTTTCTCCACACTTCAACTTAATTATGGCTAGAAAGAATCTTGAAAAGAAATTCATTATTATATTATGATACGATCAGAAGTCAAAATCGGCATGCTTTCTCATAAAAAAATAGAGCAAAATAATTTTTTTTTTTTAATAATTCAAATAAATCAATGAGAATACAAAGATAAGCACATATGATTCGAGAGAAAGTCGATCTCTCCAAATTCCTACAATTCAAGGGATAGGAAATCACTCCCAAAACCTAAACATAAAACTCACAACTCAATCTAATGTATAAACTTAACCCTACTCCCAAAACCTAAACATAAAACTCACAACTCAATCTCATGTATAAACTTAACCCTAGACATAACAAGTTTATTTATACCTAATAATAATAATAATAATAATAATAATAATAGTAAAAAACCTAATAATAATAATAATAATAATAATAATAGTAGTAAAAGACTAAATTGCCCTTAGGCGTACAAAAGATAAGCTTGTGCTTAGCTCAGGGACCATCATAACAATATCCCCGCATTTCTCCTATGCTCTCAATTCATCCTCCATTCGACTTCCAATGAAAAAAAATCTATCCTCCATTGTGGTGAACCTCTCTTCCTTTTCCGATCTGATTTGACTCATCACTTTAAAAAAATTTTGAACTTGAAGACGAATTTTATACCCTGAATTCCCGTCGTCTCTCCCTAGCTAGTTTGTATCATAATTTTACCTCAAATCAATGTTTCTCGTCCCGTAAATCCAGTCCTCGCTTCCAAAGTAGCACCTACCAAACTATAGTTAGAAAGAATCTTGAAAAGAAATTAGTTACTATATTAATAATTAGGAGCTGTTTATTTTGCTACTATGCGCTGTGTAATGTTTGATGATATTTTTAAACATAATTTTTAAGCTCTATGGAGATGATATCTGGATGGGGGTTAATGGGAAAAAAATTGATATCTACATAACCTTGTCTCTACAAGCAGATATTAAAGGCTATGTATTAATAAGATGTAAGATTACATGCATAGCACTCAAATCCTACGTATTTGCATATCTAACATCTAAACTTTATACATACCACCTTACCTATTATGCATGGAAAAGTGTTTTTCATATTTTAAATTTTAAAATGGTAGTACTTTTGATGTGAAATGAAATATTTTGATGGTATAAATGTACAAAAGCAAAGTTTGGGCATTAAATATGTAAATAAATAGAAATTGAGTGGAATATATGTGAATGCCCATAATAAGATATAATGAGAGAATATCTCCTAATATTCAAAAAATAATTGAATGTTCTGATAAATATTTGGAACTAAATTGCATAGAAAAAGCAGGATGAACCAGTGAATCAAATATACCAATCATCAAAATGGAGTAAGATCTAAAAAAACTTTTGCCAAAAAGCCATCCTGTACCTATGCATGGCTTGAAATTTTATCGAACTTAACTTTTGAAGTAAACTCTTCCAAACCCTCTCCTAAAATTCTACTTTTCAGAATGAAAATAACTTATCATCAGCTCTTCAAACATTGCAATTGTTAAGCAGTGGTTAAAACTGGCAGGCTCAAGAGCAAAGCTGCTTCTGATTCAGAGAGGAAAGTTGATGACGTGAAGGCTAATTTGGATGCAAAGCAAGAAGAGTGGCTTTCTCTGAGGTAGCTGAATAGAAGACTGGTTCAGTAGATGTCAAATTTCTCCATCATAATCATAGAGAATTGAAGCTACCAACTTTCTCTCGACAGAAACTTGTTCTTGATTAATAATAGGCATAGTGAATTGACATGTCTTCTATTTTTAATGATAGATTATGTGACTACATCACATTATTATTTTTAATCATGGATTAATTTTCTAAATCATATTTGTGTTTATGGATTTTTATAGCATGAAATTTAAATATCCAATGTTGCCTTTTGGGGCAAATTTGTTTAACTTGGAGCTAAATTAGCTATGATATGATCTAGTTTCTTGAATCTTGATAATCGGCAATTTGAGGATGTAGATAACTCCAAAAATTAGTTGAGAGACGAAAACAGAAGAGAAGCTCAGCTTGAAAATGATAAACTGCAATTCGAGGGTGACCATAACTCCAGAAATTAAAATGGGGGAGAAAAAACAGATAATCGCAAAGCTTACCACATTTTTTTTTCATTCCTCAATGTCCTCCAAATGGAGCTATTTATAGAATACAAGACACTAATTCTTTGCTAATTAATTTATTAACTACTTAACAACTCTTAACAACCAAACACAAGATATTAAGCATCTTACATTCTAATTAATCTTATCATATTAACTAAGGTTTCATTAGATATAATTTTGTCAAAACCCTCTCTCTCTCTCCGTCCTCCCTCTCTCATTTCTTTATGTTAAAAATAAAGTAAATAAATAAAACATGATGCTCATGTCTGATTAACCAACATATAAAAGCTTTACAAGTGAAAAATGATATCTATGATTCAAGGAATAACTTGAACTTCAGTGAAGGATTTCAAACTAACTAATATATATAACAAAAGTGTACCCAGGAATCATCCTAAGAGTACTGAGGAGTGAGATTCTATTACTAATATAACTGAGATTACACAACCAAGAAGAACAGCTCATCGACCCCAAAAAATGCAAGTGTCATTCTCCAAATATTTCAAATGAAAAGCAGGCGTGACAAAGCAAGAAAGTAAACAATGTAGGCATCAACTTGAAATAACGGAGGCATATTAAAAAACTCAAGGGGCAATTACATACATACCACTCAATTCCCATGTGCTTACATATCTAACACCTATACTTTACTTTTTATATTTATACCACCCAAATCATTCATATCACATCAAAAACATCACTATTTTTACTTCTAAAAAGTTAAATGCAACTTTTTTTTTAAGAAAATGAAATACACCTTTTTATGCATTGGTAAGTAAGTAAAAATTGAAGTTTAGATTTTAGATAAGAAAATACATAGGAATTGAGTGGTATATATGTAAATCATTCAAAACGTAAGCGTTACCAGGCACCAACTTCTATTCCTTGTGTTTGGGTAAAATCCAGTAGCCATGAGCTACTTTTTCATGAAAGAAACATGACAGCATCAAAACAGCAACTAAAAGTACAAACGAACGGGAACAGGTTCCCATGTTTAAAACATCTCAAATTAAAGCAGACCTGGTTCTTGATGACTTGGTAAGGAGCACTCGCATGAAAGGAACACAGAAAACCGTCCTACGCATGCAAACTGCGGAGGATGCCATGAAAATAGCCACCAGCCATTATAAATGAGATGATAGAAACAACACCAGCCGGGAATATCTTGCCAGATCTCTTGAAGCGAGAACCCATAACTGCTAGAAGTGCAGCAGACAAACCTAAAACAAACGCAACCAGCAGCGGCAAATAAATAATGACATCTAAAGAATTTTCAGTTACTTTGGGTCTTCAATGAAAAGATGCCTACCTAGCCCCAGGGATGATGCAAAAGCTGGCCTCACCGGAAGCTGAGTGTACACGTAATATAACAGCAAGGCAGAACCTCCCCCAGCTGCAAGTGACTTCTGGCTACCACTTTTCATATAACCCATGACACCACCCACTGCAATAAAGAAATTGTTCAGTAGTTTGAAATTGGGCAGTGAAGCAAATGACAGAAAAAGTGCTATGTATATTTTACGTAAGACAACTTTTTTGATTAAATTGCATGGTAAACAATAAATATTGAACTATATAAAGTACAAAATGTTAAAAAACAGCATATGCTGATTTACCATATCTGTAATACTTGCATTTCTCCTCCAAATTCCATGTGATGGATGCTCTAAACATCATTAAATATTGTACACAAAACCTGGCTTTTAGACTTTCAGCTCTAACAAATAAAATAATGGTGTCATGCAAATCATCCATGTAGAGCCCAACTTATAGTGATAAAAAAATTGCTTTCTACTAGGATGCATTATAACAACTGTGGCATACAGTGCAACATTTGCATTTATAACTGTAATGCCAACAGAATTGCGATCAGTTTTGAAGGATTTTGTTTGTGGATCCTATAAACCCATGTTGCGATCAATACAACCTTCCCAAAATATATGATTTCTCTAAATCGTTTAAATGAATATTCTAAAACTTCATCAAAATGTTATGGATTTTATTAATTTTATTTTATTTTGAAGATGTTTTTTTTTTCTTTGCTTCCGGGATATCTCTGATCTTTTTCTCTTCCCTTACTTTTTGCTGCAACCATGGACAAATCTCCAAACTACTTGAAATTCATCAAAGATGGATGACACTTCGCTCCTCAAAATGGGTGATATAACTTTCCACACCTCGGGTTCTTAATGTACAACATCAAGAATATTGCCACCAAACTATGCTACTTAGCAATCACAAATTCTGAAACTCAGGCAGATGGATTCAATGTATATCTTAACGAATCTACTTGTCCTCCTAAACACATTATTTCTGCTGATAGCAAAATCTCAAACATCACACATGGATGATGATTGATCAAAACCTCTATATAACAGCTTGTTTCTCCACCATTGCTGTTTATATTCTTCACCTTGTCTTGAACCTAAACTCTCATGCTGAGATTTGGACAACCAATGAGAAGCAACTAATCCATAAATCTGTCTCAAGTTACTCAGCTTGAAAATAAACTAGGCAATATATTCACAAAAAGTCAATTAAAAACTTAATATCTATCTAAACTCAATGTTTTTAAAAGCACATTTTGGAGTGTGCTTCACAAGCAAAGTGAAGCAAAGCGCATGCCACCTGCTTCGCTTCGTTGATGCGCACTTTGAAGAGCTGAAGTTAATTTGAAGGATTTTTTTGTAATTTTTAAGTTTTTAATTATTGCAACAATCTATTAGAAACTATTCAAAAGTTTAATTTGCAAGTTTACCCTCAATATTTGGCTTCAATTTATGTATTGTATCATATTTTTTTTTTATTTTATATAAACTTTTAAGTCATACTTTATATTTTATAATTGTTAATAAATATTTTTATACATTAATAGTTTTGTATAACCTACTAGCGTTTTGGTTAATAAAAACATTGCTTCGCACTACGCTTTGAAGTAATAATAAAGTCTTGTGCATCGCATTGCGCTTTGTGCTTTGATACCAGTGTGGGGGTGCTCTATTGATTTAGAAGACATCATTATTTACATTTTTAATGATCTATCATCAAATTATTAAGCCTTCAAAATTGTCATTTACACGAAACTCACATGTCAATTTAAATGATCTCTATTCCTTCCTGTGCAATGAAGAAATTAATCTTCCCAAAGAAAATCATCACAAATACCAACTATTGAACGCTTTGCAAGTTGCAACCTTCTAATATCTGTGTCCTTTTATACTATTCATGTGCATAGGAAAAATGTGGATTTACCTTTGTCAAGTGAAGCCACCCACCCAATGCCTTCAATGAATGTTGGATATATAGCAAAGGTGGACATTTCGCTACAATGCTTAGACCACTCTACTCTTTATTACTAATTCAAAGGTGCTATTAACAACCCATGCTCGTAGCATCTCAAGTCTTGCCTCAACAATGGTATGCATATTTGGGTGATGGAAATCACCTCATGGCAGACTTTTCCTAGATCATTCAATCGTCACAAGGCTTGAAGGATCCTTCATTTTCAAATCATGCTTTCCTTTTACAAAAAGCAATTTACAGTCTCAACTAAGTTCCTAGTCAATGGTACACTACATAGATTGGGATTTGATTTCGGAGCCATCAATACATCTTTGTTGCCATCATGCCAAACTACAATCGACCCTACGTGCTTATCTATGTTGATGACATTCAAATTGCTTGAAATAATCTAGATGCTCACTTAGCTCTCCTTAACAATCTTAAACAACGGTTTAATATGCGTCGGAATCTAAGTCGAGTTGATTGATCCATAACTTATTTCCACTACATCAAAATACATATTCAAGATCTTACAAAAGGCTAGAATGAGTAATTGCAAACCAATAGAAAACCCTCTTTCTGCCAACCTACGGACCACAAATGTGTCCATCATACCATGTTTGGGTGGCATTTTTTGGATGGCATTCTCGATCAATTGTTCACAAGTTGGACTCAACATCTTACTATCACAGTCTAAATACTTTTTTTAATGCTAATAGGGTGTGCCGATATATGCCAGTTCAAAGCTCTCAAACACAACTAATAGCATCTATAAGGCAACCTACATTATGGTCGAGTCATTCAAAAAGCAAAACTACGCGTCCATAATACTCCGATTCTGATTGAGTAGGTGATACCAAGAATAGCAAGTCTACTACCATATATTATACGCATCTTGACCTCGCCCTAATCTCTTGATGTGCTAAGAAATAATCCACCATTGCTTGCTCTTCCACTAAAGTAGAAAGTCGAGTTTTAATCATTGCAACCATTGACTTCATTTGGCTTTGACTAGGTTGTAAATGAACTAAGCATTCAACAAATTGCTCATGACTCGGCTAGATAAAAGCTTATTCATGTTCATTTGATTAACTAATTGAATAAGTTTGAACACATGTATAAACTCTTGATTGTTATTGTTACTCAATTTATTTATAATCATAAACAATATTGTTTAATGCTCGTTAAGAAAAAAAAGATTAAAACTAAATAAGAAATTAAATTAAAGCTCAATACAAAATTTGATTAATATTCGCACAAGAACATTTGAATTCTACCTAAATTTGGGCATTTAGTCTGAAATTATTAGAATGCTTTAAAGGAGCATTATGAATAAACTGTAAAAGACTAAGTTGAATTGCTGAGCTTCTAACTTGTAACCCTTTTGGTCATGTCGGAGGCTGTTAGAAAGCACGTTTAAGAATTTTAATGAAATGTTAACATATTTAAAGTATATTTAATAAAATTTTTATGTTCTTAATTAATAAAAATGGCTCTTTAAAGCTCAATACTCTCGGCTCAATAAGACATGTTTTCATTTCCAAAAGAGATGCTAGTTTGAAGTTTATTAATCACAAAATGAATCAAGCTCAAACCAAGCTAGAACAACGAATTTAAACAAACTGATCTTAAACATTATCATTAAAGCTCGAATTTAAATAAGCCTGCCTTGATAAATAAGCTCAAGCTCAAACAATCTCAAACTTATGTTGGCGCATTTGCAGCACTAGCTTCGACATGCACTAAGACATTTCTTGTTTCAAACAAACATTGCAAGCTTATTATATTGAGACAACATTTCAAACATAGTCATTACAAATAATTCAAATATTCCTGCTCAAACAAAGCATATTAAAATGGATCACCGCATTATTCATGAATATATTTGATCCAGAACAATTTTCAACACATCTCTTCTCAAGATAATCTTGCTGATATTTTTATAAGATCAATCAACCGAAAAGCTCAAATACAGTCTCAATTTTGGTATTTATACCACATTTGCAACGACCTAGGTTATGATCCAACCGTGAGTAGAGTTGGCACACACAACATCACACAAATTAATAATCAACCGCACAAAACAAAGGCATGACCAAGAAAATTCGTAGATAGATTTTTAAAAACAAATCGACAACCATTTGGCTTCTCAAATCGTCTACCACAACAACACAAAGAAGACACAGAAAACATAAAACATATACCAAACGAATCATAGGCCAACTGCTTGAACTGAGAAAAGAAAACCCAGAAAAAGATCAGACGGATAAACGATCTAATATCGACGAAATCGTTACCTCCAACTAAAGCGGCGTAACCCAGCGTCAGCTTCTGCGACATCGACATCCCGCTCACCTTCTTCCCCTTTCCAGACTCACCTTCGCCCTCACTTTTACCCCCTTCTCCGCCGCCACCGTCGTCACCTCCTCCGTCGTCACCGCCACCAAAACCGTCTCCTTCTCCGCCTCCCGCTACTCCACCGCCAAGATCTCTTACAACCTTGATTTCTTCAACCACATCGACGTCGTCGAAGGGGGGATCTTCAGTGAGGGCGTATGGAGCCTCGTCGAGGTCAACGAAAGCGATGATGCAGCGGCCACGCGATCGAGCCAAGCCAGGAAAAGAGGGTGCGGCGGAACGGCGACAAGTGACAGTCGAGAAGAGGTGGGAGTTCGAATAGCGGATCGAAGGGAAAGGGAATCTTGATGGTGAGGAGGAAGAGGAGATTCTGGAAAGACGAAGCAGAGATGGAGCCGAATTTGAGGGAATAACGACAGCAGCCATTTGATATCTATAAAAAGGAGAAGAAAATATGGCGCAGTAAAGAGCGGAGGTTGGCCTCTTTTGTTCACAATTGCCAGATCAACTAACCTCCAGGTAAAATTACCTGACAACTTGCTCCCTCTTTCCTCTCTCTTATTCAAAAGATTTACAAAAATGCCACTCAATTCTTATAAAATTTATAATACATACTTTATTTTATAGAAAACCGTCC